GGAGTGTTAGTTCGTTTTCGAAATAAAATCCCTGAAAGATACGCGATATTTCTAGAAATTATAATTATTTTGATCTCTTGATGCTGGGCGTGGCCTAGTGGTTATGGCGCCTGTACTGCAAATCTAAGGGTTCAAGACACAATGTCGCCAAAATGCACTCCGCACTTCGAGGCAAAACTACACAATGGGCTATCTGCGTTCTGCCCACCACGGGTATCGAAACCCGGATTCTAGCGTTGTAAGTCTACAGACATACCGCTGTGCCACTTGGGGGCGAGTGACAAGTAAGCCTCTCTATTAGGGCCATTGGTGCGCTATAAGAGTGACAATTAAGCCACCCTATTAGGGTTGTGGGTGCGGTATAGGAGTGACAATTAAACCACCCTATTAGGGTTGTGGGTGCGGTATAGGAGTGACAATTAAGCCACCCTATTAGGGTTGTGGGTGCGGTATAGGAGTGACAATTAAGTTTCACTATTCTGTCAGACAAGAGTTAGCGGTAAGTGCTGGTGACTAGGTCCTTCGTTATAGTCTATGCTGGTGACTAGGTCCTTCGTTATAGTCTATAAGTTAAAAATTAGGGATGGCTATGCGAAGATGTATTTAGAGTTTTCTACATTCTGAAAATGTTCTAAAACAAGAAATGTAGGAAAAGTAAAGACAAGCAGCATTATTTGGTCATGTGATGAGGGATGGAACAATTGTGTAACAACTGGGAAAAGAAGTAGATGTAGACAACGACAGAAGATTCCGGAGAGTTTAACAATCTGGCTACACAGAGAGAGAGAGAGAGAGTGACTGGTGTAAGCACAAGTGTCTGGGACCCGGAAAGGTGGAGGGACGTGGTCGCCTAGGCTACAAAGCACGGCACTTGATGTGCCTTTTGTAGCTTTGCGCTAAAATTCTGAATAAATTAATTCTCACGTGTTCTTTAAATATGGTCAAGCTAAGATTGAGGAGTTTGATCCCTATTTCCAAGATTACTTCTCTGATCGTTTTCCTGACAAAAACAAAATATACGTGTTTGTCCTAAAACCAAATTAAAAAAAGAAAATTTCATCTTTAGAATATCTTAATGGTGTTTGTTATTAAGCACAAAGCTACGTAAGGATCACGGGTATCGAAACCTGGTTTCTAGCGGTATGAGTCCGCAGACATACCGCTATGCCACTAGAGGGCAGAATATTTTAATGAAAATTAATTTACGAACGAAGATGTGAGAAAAAAATCATATCGCCAACATAAGTATAGAAGTCCTAATATCACTCCCCCCTCTACTAGTGAATCTGAAAGCTTATCTCGCTAAAAATGAGGTTTCGATACCTGTGGTGGGCATAGTGCAGATTGCCCATTGTGTAGCTTTGTGCTTAACAGCCAACAAACACATTTGATATAAAGTTTTTGTTATCAGTTATAATTTACATAATATAATGAATGTGTCTTATTTTTATATAACTGAAAATACGATAGTAACATAACGTAGGTAGCTTAGTTCTTTATAATGATAACAGAGTTAATTTATTTATATATATAATTAAAAATAATATGGTAATATATAACGTAGTTAGCTTATTTGTTTATAACGAAAAATATAACGAAAATATAATAAAGTGATAGTGAAGAAATAAGCTGATTTATTTAACACTACAACACTGCTCTCCAATACAACAATACCACTAACAACACTGCTCTCCAATACAACAATACCACTCATAACACTAACAAAACTGCCCTCCAATACAACAATACCACTAACAACACTGTTCTCCAATACAACAATACCACTCATAACACTAAAACACTACTCTCCAATACAACAATACCACTAACAACACTGCTCTCCAATACAACAATACCACTCATAACACTAAAACACTACTCTCCAATACAACAATACCACCCATAACACTAAAACACTACTCTCCAATACAACAATACCACTAACAACACTGCTCTCCAATACAACAATACCACTCATAACACTAACAACACTGCCCTCCAATACAACAATACCACTCATAACACTAACAACACTGCCCTCCAATACAACAATACCACTAACAACACTGTTCTCCAATACAACAATACCACTCATAACACTAAAACACTACTCTCCAATACAACAATACCACTCATAACACTAACAACACTGCCCTCCAATACAACAATACCACTAACAACACTGCTCTCCAATACAACAATACCACTCATAACACTACAACACTGCTCTTCAATACAACAATACCACTTATAACGGTAACAAGATTGTTATCCAATAAAATAATACTAAACGTAACACTGAAAACACTACGATCCAATAAGATAATACCACTCATAATGCTAACAATATTGCCCTCCAATAAGATGAGCCCGACAACTGTACTGATGCAGTATTTTAAGGGAGTCTATTCATGTAGCAAGGACTATAAAACATAAGGGGTTTCAATACTTAGATCGTATGTATCAAGTTAAAGAAATATATTATCTTTGTGTGTATATACATAATCAAATGTTGTTACTAGAGGTGGACTCATTTCATTGGACGGTACTGAAAGAGTTCTGCAAGTGGTCAAAAACTGACCATTGTTTTTGTATCTTTCGAATGCCGTCAACAAATCACGACACAAATACTGACATCGCTTCGTTATATCTTCTATTTCATGACATATAACTCATAAAACAACCCGTATCCACTGAAATGACCATCTTGTCCAGCCTTAACAATATTTAAAGCGACCTCTGTTTTCTTACAGAAAACTCAAAGAAAGATGGCGGAACAGGAAACTTACCAGCTGGCATATATGAGGGAAGATCTCGAGCGTGTAGCCGACTCTTCACGCGACCCAAAGAACGATGACGGTAAATTGAAGACAATGTTTTGTTGCAGATGTCGTCGTCATCAGCCAAAACCTCCACGCGATCCTACGCACCGCATTCTAACGTTTACTGGCATGGTATGCTTAATATGTACTTTTATTGTTATCACTGTAGTACTTGTGGCCGTATTGCTTTCTCAGCTCACAGAAGAAGATAAACCTCTCATCGGGACATCAGACATCATTTCCATCGTACCCAAACCCCAGGATTTTATCGACCGCAAACAAACTATTCTTGTACATCGTCATAACAGCGCCTTCTGGAAACGTCAAGTAGCCCAATTAAAACAGTTACTTAAGAAATATGAAGAAATCTACACCAACTCAACAACTTGTCAGGGTGTGGAAGACCTAAAGAATTGTCCTTCACTGGTCGATTTAATTAGTCCAAACTGTTCGGAAAAAAATAATTTCGCATACGATATAGGTTCCCCGTGCGTAGCTCTGGTTTTCAAAGAATTTCCGGAATTGGTTCCCGAGCCTCTGAGCAACACATCTGGCATTCCCGATGTATTACCAAGCGTGTACGATCCACGGTTGTTATATCTTACGTGTGAAAGTAAACACCTTACAAGTGACCAGCCAATCCTCTTCTCTCCATTTCAAGGATTCCAGTTAAACGCGTTCCATTCAAACCTCGAATCTCCGCCGATGGTCATGTTGCAGTTTGTCAACCCACCAATCAGAAGAGACATTCGTGTAATCTGTCGTTTGTGGGCTAAGAATATGAAGAAAAATAAGCGGGAAGTAATACCCTCAAAAATACAGTTCAGTTTACTAATCATTTGAAGAAATAAAAAGAATATACGTGGCTAATAAACTAGAAATGTAAAAAACACACACACACACTAATAAAGTCAGGTTACTGTGTAAACAGTTATAGTCAGAGTTCAAATGTGAATTCATTAAATTGTTTTTGAAACTCTTGTAATATAACCTCTCGTGTATCTCTGGGCTTGTACAATACACAAAATATGAAAACATTTGATATTTCCAGTGCATTTTTAAAGTCTTCTTTATTATCGCTTTTGCTTGAAAAAAACTTATAAAATAGCACAGTTTTGTAAGTGAAGTTTATTTATAAGTGTTTAGTGTTAGGCTTACTGTACTGAGTGTTATGATGTAAAACTCATATATAATCAACGAACACCATCTCTTTCGAACTTCTCAACATTTTGTTTTAAAGCCATCTTGTGTTTACAATAAAGTGCTTTGTCCAAAAAAAACAAGATTTCACTCACGTCATTAGAAAGTCTCCATATTACCACTCGTACCCTTCGTATCAACTCCAGTAAACGTATAAAAATACCCTTCCAACTTTCGTCACACAGTACAAAGATCTTCCTAAGATATCTACTTTTAAGCGTTATTAAATTTCCCATTTTTTTCTTGTTTCCCTCAGTAAGTTCTGCAAAGTCCGTTTCAGTTCGATCAACGAAGAAATGGGAATGATTTGGTTTAAAATACAATCACGTTAAAGTGGCGTCGTTTTGAGCTCCGAGCGGCGGACCCACTATTACTTACTACTAACTTTTTCACGACAGACTTAACAACTTTATATTTTCATGGCCCTCGTTTGCCACCGTAAGAACTTCATATCAAAACCGTAAGACAATCATCAGAATTGACAATTACAGGTAGCTCTGTTTCTATGGTAACTGTGGAAGCTGTTGTGTTTATACAGGAGGTAGAAATGTTTCTATTGCAACTGTGGCTGAAACTAGAGTCACGAAATAGATAGTGCTGTTTCTATGGTAACTACGATCCCCATCCGAAGCATTGTACTATAATATAACTTTTACGAGAGAGTTAATTAACAATATGATGTTTTCCATTGATGTTGTAACCTTGGCAACTGTGTATATTGTGGCAAACAATGTTATCAATACGTTTCAGTTATCAACCTCAGGTATTGAACTATGAAGAAGTTAGTACTTGTGCTCAAAGCTAGCCTTGTACATGGTTCTAATACGTGGTTTATACGGTCTATATAACCTGTAAGCGAATATAAAGGTCTGTCAACTTTTAATTAAATGTTCAATCATTTTTATTCATAATTCCATAAAAAAGATCTAATAATGATCTCGTTGTACATTTCGTAACTCATTCTGAATTTATCTACGTCTCTGAAATTCCACTGAATTAAGTTTGTTCTGGTAATAAACCTTCTATTACAACTTGAAGTTTAATTTTAGAAAATGTTTGTATGTGTGCGAAACTTTGATTTAAAATGTTTGAAAGATATCACTACGAGCAATAAAATAAGATAATTAGTTGGACAAAATCTTATCAGAAACGGCTAATTAAACCAAGACGAAAGTTATAACGATTATAAACCATACAGTCTATGTGCACGTTTAGGGTCTCCTCACTTGGATATTATGAGAATAATAAGAGTATAATGAGAAAACAACAACAATGAGAGAACAACAAGTAGCTAACGTTGATAATATATTTTTGCCTTCTTTCCGATAGACACTGTGTAGCCTTTTCACAAGCTCTTTTCTTATTATTAAAGAACGTAATATCTCGCCTAATGTAGCACGCGGTTACCAAGGAGATGTACTGCATCCTAATTTCAGAGAAGCTGTCAGTCTAATCGGTAAACTTCCCCGGTTACAGGAATCTTCTTTGAAAACGAGAAAATTAATTTCCCCTAAACACCTAAGGAAATGATGGAGCGAGCATGTTTTGAAAATTTTGAACCTGAACGGCATTTTCTGTGTCTTTGGTCTAAACAGCCATATCAAATACTTTTGAGTTCAGGTGTAGCCGTCCCCAATTTTGAACTACTGACAAGAAGGAAGGCAGCCAGGTAACAGCACCCACCGCCACACGAAGTTTGTCAGGATCTTTGTATGAGTAAAGGAATTACCTGTTCCCAGAGCTGAACATGTGGGAGCGTGTTCTGTGGCATCATGTCTCGAACCTTAGACCAATCGATTGGTATCCTAACACTAGTTACTAGGTCACGCCCAACCTTTGCGTTTTTTTATATATTTTAATAACCATTTATTTAAAATATGTCATTAACATCAAAATATGAAAATGAAAACAAGAGACTGAAACTTAGATCAAAGTTCTAGAGAATTAGAAGTTGTTTAAGGTGGTGTGAGATACAGTACTGGTGTATAGAATCTGATATTGAAGGAGACTATCCTGGATCTCTCACCATATACTAACCCTAGTTCAAGTGTTTATTCTTCACACATTCAATCAGATTTTTAACTGTTTTCCAATTGAATACAATAGATCAAAGTCAGACAAAAGTTCTAGACAATCAGAAGTTGTTTAAGGTGATGTAAGATACAGTACTGGTGTATAGAATCTGATATTGAAGGAGACTATCCTG